AACATGTGTATAGAGGCCAGAGTTCAACTGTGCATATCATTCCTCAGGAGATAGGTGATTTACTTTTCTTTGTTTGTTTGTTTGTTTGTTTTGGAGTCAGAGTCTCTCACTGGCCTGAGACTTGCCAATTTGGCTAGACTGGCTGGCCAGCAAGCCCCCAGGACCCTCCTGTCTCCCCAGTGCTGGGGTCACAAGCACATACCACTATGCCCAACTCTTTTATCTGGGTTCTGGAGATCAAACTCAGATCCTTCATATTTGCACAGCAAGCACTTTACCAATGACACCGTCTTCCCAGTACCCCTCTTTTGAGAGTTTTAAAGCACAAGGCAGTTGAGGCTCACACATACAGCAGAGCACCCCACTTCCCTGTTCTCTAGTGGTAAGCAGAGTTGAGTGTCTGCAGTGTATCTCCCAGGCTCTCTTTGTGCTCCCAATATGTCTGGCTTCCAGGTTTTCCACCTAGACTCCAGGAATGTTGAGTTGGGAAAAGATGGTCAGTGGCAACTCCAGTGTGGTGCTTAATCCCGTGGAAGCAGAAGACTGCTGTCCTCAGGGGCTTGTGTTAACAAGCCTTGTGTTACTACAAAAAAATAAAATAAAATCTGTGTGCACATGGTATTGTGTGATTGGGAATGCAAACCAGGGTCTCCTGAGTCATCCAAGTTGCTGTAACAAAATAGGTGAGGGAGTCATGTTGAAAAGAGCAAGTAAGGCTTGCTTACTTTCACTCACAGTTCCAGAGGTTTAGTCCATGATCAGTTGGTCCCTTTATTCTGGGGCTTGTGGTGATGCACTGCGTCATGGTGGAGAGTGCTGGGGAGGACAGTGCATCATGGGGAGCATGGGGCAGCATAGCAGACCATGGTGGGGAGTATGGGGAAACATGATATATGACATGGATAGCATGGGGGAGGACAGCACATCATAGTAAGGCGCATGGGGGAGTATAGCACATCTTGGTGGGGAGTGCAGTGGAACACAGAAAATCACAATATGGAGCAGAGAGAAGCACAACACGTCCTGGTCAGGGAGTATGGGGGAGCACAGCACAAGATGGAAGGGAGCATAGCACATCTTGGTGGGGAACACAGGGGAGCACTGCACATCATGGTGGGGAGCACAGGGAACAAGCTTCACCCAATGGCCACTGGGAAGCAGTGACGGAGACCAGCTCCCCATAAGGCCCTTGAAGGTTCCATCATCCCATGGTGCTGAGGACCAAACCATTGACTCTAGGACTTTGGGGAACATTCTAGGTTCAAGCTGTAACAGCACAGATAATAGTGAAATAACTGGTAAGTGGTAAGTTCTGAACATTACCTTTAAAAATGTATAATTCATTGTGTTGTAAGTATTGACCTTGTAAGTGTTAATAATTGGCTGTGCTTTATAAAATTCCTGAAAAGTTAACAGATGCCCTGACTTGTAGAAGCTGACTCAGCTACTCACTCATTGATTCTTTATTAACATAGTGACACTGGGTAATTTTTTTTGCTTTAACTTGCTTTTATTTAAAAGACTCTTCATGCAATCATCCATCCAGTCAAGCAGGATTCTTCCATGTATTAGACACCAAATAAGGGAGCAGGGAGCCCGAGGGGATGGGAGAGCTGTGCCATATGCTGTCTTCATTCATTTAGACCAGAACTGCCCCTTAAACTCAGATAATAGATGCCATCATGGACAGAAATGCTCTCATCATAAGGGTTCTAGAGAGAGTCACAGGACATCATGGAGCTAGTGCTGGGAGGCCAGCACTATGGCAGGGGACAGCTTAGATCAGGAAAGACTTGTTCTATGAAGGTGAGATATCTCATAGGAAACTCGTGAGATAAAAAGGGGACCAGGCATCCACAGCTCAGTGAAGAAAAGCTTTAGGGATGTGTTGTTCACTTGGGGGTCACTTCTGTCAGCTTTCTGCATCAGTCACTTTTGCATTTCTATAGTCAGGTACCTAACAGAAACAATGGAAAAGAAGAACTGTTTATTTTGGCTCATGGTTTCAGATGAATTTCAGTCCATCATAGCAGGGAAGGCCTGGGCAGAGTGTTTGGTGGTGGGGGCATGTGGGGAAGATGGTTCACATTTTGGGGGGTGCAGGACTCAGGGGCTGGTATCCTCTTCAAAGACTGGCCTTCCTGTCTCCACAGCCTTCAAAATAACACTACCAGCTAGGGACCAAGCCTTCAAAACAGAATCCTGTGGAGGGACATTCCAAATTAAACCATAGCATTTTCCAGGCTTGCCAAACAGCATTACATGTTGTTCTTGAAAAAAAAAAGTATATGGTGAAAGTAGGGAGGTTCCCCTTCAGCTTCCAGATGCTGTCACCCTTGGAGAGAGGAAGTGAAGGAGTGGGAAGTGGGAGGCAGAGGCAGTCTTCACTTGGGATTTTAAATTTGTTTGTTCATTCATTCATTCATTCATTCATTCATTTATTTGTGTGTATGTGCAGGCATGTGTGTGCTACAGTGTATGTGGAGATCAGAAGACAGTTCTCAGGACTTGTTTTTTTCTTGCTTCCTTATGTGATCTGGGAATTGACCTCAGCTTGTCAGGCCCCTGTGCTAGTGCTACTAGCCTGCTGAGACATCTCAATGCCCCAACTTTTGATTTTTTTTTTTTTGAAGTAAAGGGAAAGATCTGAGGCAAACATAACTGTTGTGAATTTTTGTTGACTTTTTCTGATGACTCTGGAGACATCAGCTGCATTATTAGCTCTGTCATTTCTGAATGTTCAAAATACTCAATGATTATGATTCTTTTAAGAGTATGCAAGAGAGATTCTGGGCATCGAACTCACCCAGGCTAAGGCTCTCTCCCTCAGAACAGACTGGTTATGGCAAAGTGGCAAAGTGAAGGGGCATAGAGAGACTGTATTACTTACTGTGCTGTGACAAAATACCTGACATTGCTTAAAGGAAGGAAGCTTTATTTTGGCTCACGATATTAGAGGCTCCAGCCCACAGTCCTTCGCTCCCAGCATGTGGTGAGGCAGGGCACTGTGGAGTTAGGAGCACGTGGAAGAGGAGGGTGCTTACCTCATGGTGGCCAGGAAGCAGAATTGAAAAGAAGGGACGATGGACCTGGTATATCCTTCAAGGCAACCTGCTGACCTACTTTCTCTAGCTAGAGCCTTCTTCCCCTGAAAGTTTTCAACACCTCCTAAAATAGCCTCCAGCTGAAGACTGCATGTTCAACACATGAGCCTGAAGTGAGTGTGTGCATTGTATTCAAACCATATGGAAGGCCACAACTATAAATATGTGTTAATGTAAATTCAGTGGATGAAACTTTGAGCTGGTGAATAACATGGTCTGATTTACATCCATAAAAATTTGCTTTACCACTTTGAGGAAAATGGATAGTGTGGTATCAGAGGTGTCAGGGGGCTCAGGCTGGAGCCTTGACTTTGAGGTAGCTCTGCTCCATCAAGTCTTCAGGGAGCTACCCTTGGTCTAATGCACCTTTCCACAGTCTGTGTTAGGTGCCACTTCTCCTTAGCCAAGGTGTAGAAACCCAAAGAAACAAATGAAAAGAATAGAGATCTGGAAAAGAACGGATAATGTCATGGGAAGTGAAGAATGTTTATTAAATGAAAGGTACTCATTAAAAAGGACAAAGACATTGGGTATGGTGTTGCAGGCCTGTCATCTCTGCACTTGGGAGGCATGAGTAGGAAGATCAAGCGTTTAAGACCAGCCTGGGCTACATGGTAGATCTCTGTCTCAAAAATTGTACAAAACAAAATGAAAACAAAACATCAAGAGTAGGAAGATCAAGCGTTTAAGACCAGCCTGGGCTACATGGTAGATCTCTCTCAAAAATTGTACAAAACAAAATGAAAACAAAACATCAAAAAAAATGAATCAATGCAAGAAAGGAAAACACTGATGGATAGAAGTAACTGGAGTAGATGCTGTTAAAGAGAAAATTAATGAATTTGAAGAGGGTTCTGAGACATTTTCATCAACGCTGTTCAGAAAGAGTATAGACTATGAAAAGGTAAAGGGTATAGAAGATGGTATGAGCTATTCCCATATTGATTTCATAGACATTCTACTAGAGAGGTTGGAAAAAAAGAGGGTGTACTCAGAAACATAAAAGCTGAGAATTTTCCAGAACTGAAAAAGAAGACATGGAAGACATGAAGAGAATTGTGTAAAATAAATTTCTGCTTCAAAAACAAAGTTCAAAATGACAGAGAGGGAGTTCAATCATCCATAAAAGATCCTCAGTAGAATAACAGTAATTTGCCTATGACTTAGAGCACTGAAAGAAAGAACCAGATGACTCTCTTAGAAAAGCCCACACTGGTACTCTCTGGTATGTTTTCTTTCTAAGTGCCTCTTTCTCTCTTAACCTCCATGCTTAAAAATCTATATTAAAAATGTCTTTTAATAACACCCTTCCCAAAACAAAGAGCCAGCCTAGAATTTCATGCTCCAGTGAATCCTGATATACATGAGTGATGGTGGGGGTACAAACATTTTTACTGAAGGAAAGCAACCCACCCCAAACCCTGAGAACATTTTGAATACTTGGAGGTTAGGGAATGAGGACACCTCTAGTCACAGATGCCCATACACCAGCAGTGAACTCAATGTCCCATAAACACCAGAGAGACAGGGCTGTGTTCAGCTTTTGGTGAGCATCAGCATGCTGTGGGAAGTGGTGCCACTTGGCCGTGTTGCCTGGAATTCCTTCAGGACAGCCAAGAGGCATGCAACCATCTCCTTGCATCTCCCAGGAATTCAGAACACCTTAAAGGGGGGTATGTCTCTTCCAGGGTCTCTAGGAGAGTAGGAGTAGGTGGAAGGAAGGTCTCAGTTCAGCCTGAGTGGAATTGGGGATAGTGTGAAAGGGAGGCAGAGGGAAGGGAGGTGAGGCTGTGGATGGGGCAGGGTCCTGGCTCAGGGCCTTGACTGAGAAGGAGCAAAACCACACCAGAGCCCTTTCTAAAATGGCTTGTTCTAGACACTTTCTCTATCTTCCAGATTGTGGACAAGAACAACCATTACAAGTCCATAGACGGGTCGGATGAGACTAAGGCCAACTGGATGAGGTGAGTTTCACCCCTGGAGGCTCTGGTAAGCTTTAGCAGCCTCTAGGATGGGTTGAGGGAGTGCCTTGGGCCTGCGAGTTCTCCAGGATAGCAGCTGGCAGAGTTTGAGCTATATCCAGCTCTGGGGGATGTAGCTAGTGGGCTCCAGGGACCTCAGAGGCTGTACATGCCACGGGCTCCTGGCAACACTTTTGGAGATGGGAAGAGTGTCCCCAGCCTAGGGTGGTGGCACACCTCCCAAGGTAGGCTCCTGCTGTAGGGGTGGCATCACCCCAGCACAGGCCCAGAAGTTGTCCCATGGCTAGGGGGACTGAAGACTCCTCACAGTCTCCAGCAACCTTCTCCATGGGATCCACACTAAGCTTAAGTGCCCACAAAAACAGTGCCACCCTGACCTAGGCTGTGGCCCAGAAGTTGTGCCACAAGGGTCCTTAAAAGCTAGCCAGAGAGATTGGGGAACTGACCAAGTGGCCAAGCAGAGCCAAAATCCAGGCTTAGTGTTGGCCTGTGGGGTGTGCAAGGGTCTTACCAGTGGGGTATGAGGGTTGGAAAAAAACATCAGTGTGGCCTCCACACCTTGGTAGCCTCTGTCTGGAACCCAGAAGTGATGACTGGGGATTTGGATCTGGGTTGGGAGGAAAGGGAGATTTTAGTCGGCCCAGGAGCCCAGCCACACCATGGATTCAAGACCATGTCATTCTGCAGTTCTGTGAGTCTGGCATGGGTGGATGATGAAGTGCATGATGGGATGGGTGGGTGAGCGGTGAGGTGGTAAGGGATTTCTCAGAGGGAGGGTGTTTGCTATAGTTAAAGTCTAAGTGTTTCTGAGCACACTAGGAGAAGCTGATTAGAAGCAGACAGTCATGCTGAGGTCCCCTGTGTCCCTCTTAGTGGCCTCATTGCTACCTCATTGCAGGGCACTTAGGGTGAACCCTCTTATTTGAGAGGGCAGCCGTTCCCACTTCTACTGAGCAGGTATGGAATCAGGGACACCAGAGACCAATGCACCCCCACACCATCTCCTCCCATACAGGCTGCTCAGCTATCCCCTGAAAGTGCCCGGAAAGGGGATTTCAACAGTCTTCACCACCTTCTTCTTCCCTGGTGTGAAGGTCCAGGTCAACTTGGCAGTGCCTGGTATCTCCGTATGCTGAGCATACTTCAGACATGAGCTTGATCCTCAGGGATGGGCCAGCCCAGCCCTACCCAGGCCTGCCCTTTGCACTTTTATGTAGAAATGGCATGAAGGCAACAGAACTGTGAGGGTCCAGATGGAATAGGAAGGAGCCTTTTGACATAGATCTTTAAAGAGGCCAGGACTTGGTTTAGGACACTGGCAGCTGTGACTTAGAGAACTGACCTCTCACACACTTCTCTGTTCAGAGCTTTTGAATGGGGACACAACTTTCCCACAGCCCCACAGAAGAAGATGCCTCATCTCTACCAACTCAGCCATCCCCAAGTACTGAAGAGCTGCTGATGTAACTTGGTTGGGGAATGGCTCTGGGCCATCATTATTTTGCAAGGTCTCCATAGTGACTGATGTGGCTACACACACTGACAGCCCCTGCTCTGTACTGGTGGTCATGCCCCAGTGTTGAACTGACACCCAGAGCAGAGCAAAGTCTTGCCCAAGGTAATGCCTTCAGTGGCAGCACTAGGACTGGGGGCCTGTGTCTCTGTACTTCTGGGCCAGGTTCCTGATACTTATACAGAAGGGACCTGGTGGAGTGTGACTCTTTGAACTGTGGGTGGGTGTAGTGGTACCTTGTTAGCATGGCTCGGCCTTGCTGCCCCCAGCCCTGTCCTGAGCATGGGTATGGAGAGAAACTCCAATCCCGATCTACTCCTCTAGATGCTAAGGTAGCTACTGGGTGGTTTCAGCCCATGGGTCCTGGCTTGGGAAGATTCCAGAAGCAGGGGATTCTATGTGTGTAGCTTCTCTTTGGTCAGCTCTTTGTAATTTGCAGACACTCATAATTGTACTGTCACAGACCAGGGGCTTAGGAATGATGTGATGCATCATTAGTGGTGGGCTCGGCAGGTACCTGTAGGTACCCTGTGCTAGGTGCTCAGTGTGTAGTAATTCTCAACCAGGGGCATTTGAGGCAGGTGTGCCCTTGGCATTGCTTTGGATGGGCACAGCTTTGGATGGGCACAGCTTTGTGCATTGGTGCTCTTGAGCAGAAGGTAAGGGCACTGGTGAATACTCCAGGTTGCATGGTATCTCTTTCCCCTCAATACACACTCTTTCAGTCCCATAGTGGCATGACTAAGGCCCCTGGGAGGACCCCGAAGGGTTCACCCTCGTTTTTATAGAGGCCCTTTGTCCCGCAAGGATAGTTACAGGTCTGTCTGAATGCAAGGCCTTTGTCTTGGGCTGGTTACTGAAGCCCCTAGCCTTCCTCTCTCAGATACACACCCTGTTAGGTGGAAGGACTTCCCAATGGGGCTGGAGGAACTCGGTGCTGATGGTCTCCACAGTGGCTTTGGAAGCATCTAGAGGAGTGGATCAGGATTGGAGTTTCCCTCCATACCCTGTTGTCCTCTCTTGGGTGGACCTTCAGGCCTTGTAGCTGTAATGAAAGGTGGACAGAGCCACAGCATGGGGAGATCCAGTTCCAAAGCCAGAGCGGGTGCCAGGTCAGGTAGAAGAGCCTCAGTTGAGGCCATCCCTAGTGTCCCTCTGTGTGGAACGTGTCTCCCCATGGACGCTCACCAGCTCCTCACATCTTACCACATGCCGTGGAACCTACCCCACAAGGAGCCACTGGTGGTGCCCCTCAGGGAAAAGATCCTGCTTTCCCGTGAACACACAAGGAGGTGGGAATGTGGAGGACATGGACCAAGGGAAATGAGCTAGTAGTGACAGAATGAGAATTGTGACTGCAGCATGATGGTTGCACTGGTACCACACACCACCAAGTCTGCTGTAGGTCATCAGCTCTAGATGATTGCTCCTTTATCTCCCTTGTCCTTCCTCCGATCCACTCATTCAGCTCTGTGAAAACGTCTCTGAGGCCAGTCAGGGAGGAGCTGTAATTCCTTTTTGGGCATTAAGGCTTTATTTTTAAGGTTTGGGGTTTTATTTTTATTTTATGTATATGAGTGTTTTGTTTGCATATAAGTGCATGATGTGCATGCAGTGCCCGTGGAAGCCAGAAGAGGGCATCAGATTCCCTAGAAATTGAGTTAACAGAATATTGTTAGCTTCCATGTAGGTGCTGGGAACCAAATGCAAGAGCATCCAATTTGTGCTCTTAACTGCTGAGTCATCTCTCCAGCTCCAAGGCACTTTTTAAAAAAAATATTTTTTTGTTTACTTTTTATTTATGTATGTGTGTGCATGAACATGTGTGTGGGGGGTGCCCACAGAGGCCAGAAGGGGTATTGGATCCCTTGGAGTTGAAGTTACAGACATTTGGGAGCTACCCAACGTGGGTGCTAGGATCCAACTCTGATCCCTTCACTGCTGAGTTATCACTCTACCCCTTAGAGTGTGAAGGCTTCTTACACACACTGGACCCTTCCTTTGTGATTGGTATTCCCATTCTGGATGGGGAGATGAGTCAGGAAAGGATTAATGACTTCAAACTACCTGATGCTCACAGCTGATAAGAGGGCTGACAGGCAGGCCCTACTCTGCAGCACCTGGGCTCCCCCACTTCTTCCTGCCCCCTCCTCTGAGGAGGGAGAGTTGGGTGTCTCAGTAGGAGGAAGGTATTGCAGGGTGTAGGTCGCCCTAGGTGTCCCTGGCTCCCCAGCTGTGATTAGGAAGGAGAAGGACCACCCTTCATTGACAGTCATTTACCGTACAATTATGCTTTATGGGATATTCAACCCAAGGAATGTGCTACCCCTGGCCGAACGTAAGAGGAAGCCTAAATTCTCGAAGGAGGAGCTGGACATTCTGGTCACAGAGGTGACCCATCACGAGGCGGTTCTCTTTGGGAGGGAGACCATGCGACTGTCCCATGCCGACAGGGACAAGATTTGGGAAGGCATAGCTCAGAAAGTCACGACTGTCAGCCAGGTCCCCCGCTCCGTCAAGGACATTAAGCACAGATGGGACGACATGAAACGCAGGACCAAGGACAAGCTGGCCTTCATGCAGCAGTCACTGTCAGGCCCCGGCACAGAGGGCCACACCCATTCCATCACACTCACTGCCCACGAGAGGGCCATTGAGTCAGCGCTGCTCACTGCCCAGGCAGGACACAGCTTCCCCAGGGCAGAGCTGGACGGCACCGACAGCCCTTCGACCAGCTGTGAGTATCGAGACCTGGCAAGTGGCTTACCTCCTCATACCCACCCCTTCCCTTCCTAGCTCCCAGCCTTCCCTGTCTCCCCATCTCTTTCCACACCTCCGTCCTACTTCTGCCCTGCTTCTGCTTCTTGCAACTCCATTCTAGAATGTTGACTGGGTGTCTCTGTATCAGAAGCTGTGCTTAGGAACTGCAAGGAGAGGGCTGTATCTCAGGTGTCAGACATGTCCCCTGTGGGCTGCGTGCATTGCAAGATAGCTATGAATATGGCCCAACACAAAATTGTAAACTTACTTAAAGCGTTATATTTTTTATGATTTTTTTTGTAACTTGAACGGGAGCTTTGTAGAGGATCATGTTGTATCACAGTGTCAAAAGGTGGACACACCTGCTTGAGTTAGACAGTCGCACATCTGCAGAGGAGGGATAAGGGCTTACTGAGTCCCAGGCTTCCAGCCCGAGACCTGTGTTATCTTATGGGCCTGGCTAATTTTCTGCTCTACAGCCAAGTCCCTGTGTCTTCAGGCTGCATTGGCCTACGCAGCGAGTGACAGGAGGTACTGAAGCTGTGGAAAGAGGCTGGGCTAGGCCTCGCTGGGGATAATGTTTGAATGGTGAGGAAGAGTTAACTAGGCCTGGTGTGAGGCACAGAGGAGGGGAGGGGAGGGTATGCAAGCCAGGAACAGCATGTACAAAGCCCTCATCAGGAAGACGCTTGGCACGTTCCAGGAACTGCACAAGCCAGGGAAGCCCCAGTGTAGCCTGCAGGGGGAAGGGCTGGGCAGCAGCCTGGTGGGGCGGGGCCAGGGAAAGATGGTCCTTTGTGGTTGCCTGATTGCTTTGTATCTGTCTGCCTTGTCCGCTGCTGCACTCCTGCCAAACTGCTTGACTTGTGTTTCTCTAGTTCATGCTTCTGTGTGCCCACCGGAATCTGACTAAGCTCCCTCTCTGCCCTTTCCATTCTACCTCCTTCGCCCTGCTTCCTATATGGATTTCTAGGCAGAGGCTTGAGGACTGCCTTTCTGACTGGGTTTGACCAAAAGAGGGAGCCATCAGAGACCCTCACTCCACTGTACCTCTTCCTTCCTGCCTCTGTACACCTAACCCTCATCTACTGTCCTCACTAGAGGTCCATGAGCAGGGCAGGAGGGGCCAGGAAGGCAGGCTATTGGGGGCCAGCCAGTGGGAAAATGGTTAACAGTTGCAGAGTCCTCCCTGGCCCCTCACCATGGGGATGTGCTCATTTCCTGTTTGGCTGGTGCCTCTGACAGGTGGCCACTCACAGTCAGACTCAGGAGTGGAAAGGAGTGTCTGTGATGGGGCTGACCTCCTTGTTAGCCAGTTGAGGAAACCCATCTTCCAGAAATGGAGTTGGTCCTGAGATAGGACTTCAGCCTAGGTCTGCCAGGGTTTGCCAAAGTCCCACCCAGTTCTGAACAAAAGGAGTGTGGAGCAATGTCTAGAAAAGCCTGTTTCCTGAGTCTTGCCCTGCTCACCCCTCCATTTCCCAGAGACCGAAGGTGGTGAGGTTAGTAGAAGTCACCTGAGCTGGCAGAAGCCCCCAAGTCCACTAGTGGCCACCAAATTCAGCCAGGGCCTTGGTGGCCTGAGGACTTGGGAGGGAGGGAATGGTGTTACCACAGTACTCCTTCCCAACCCATTCTAGCTCCCACCTACTGAGCACTCTCAGGAGGCACTGAGAGCCAGTGCCAGCCCCAGGAGGCCCTGGGATCCTCAGAGAGCCGGAGGCAACCTACCAGGAAAACCTCTTAGAGGATGGCTCTGATTTTAGCCCCACTCCACAGACAGGGAGACTATCTGTGCCTGTAAAACGAGTCTGTCATGCTTTTTAGCCCTGCTATGAGAATCTGCCTATGATCTTGGCCACTTGAAAGTAGAGAACCCTGTGTTCAGGGGCCAGGGCTCTCTCTGTGTCCCTGTGGAAGATTAGCAGTCTGTTTCATAGGTACAGCAGAGCCATGCACTCATGAGTTGTCTCCATGTGGCTGACCGGGTAGCCCACCTTGGGGAAACAACAGGGCTTGTGGCTTGCCCTACACAGGCCTGCCAGTTCCTCCACCAGCCCTTCCCTCCCTGCTCCAGCCAGTTGGACTCCTCCTTGTGATTTTTAAGTTTCAGATTTCAGCAAGGCCACCAGGTGGCCCCACGCAGCACACAAAGGGTCCTGTGGAGACTGGAGAGCATCTTAGTCCCTCTGACAAGTATCAGGCTTTCAGCACTGCAAAGTGCCTTAGGGTCTGGGATCTCACAGCCCATCATCCTCACAGCCCATCATCCTACAGCCCAGCCAGGGGCCTAGGGGAAGGAAGCAGGGACCTAGGTAGAACAGCCATTATTGTTCCTTTGCACAAAGTGAATTGCAGAGATAAAAGGACATGGTAAAGGTCATGAGCGCTTTAACATGCCTGCTTCTGGGACTGGAGCCTCCACATCCCTGGCCTGGGCTTCTCCACTGGAATGTAGCTGTGTCTGAGGGAGGAGGGGACCTGCTCCTGTTAACCCTTCTGATACCTGGCCCACATACCCCAGGGACTTGGGGAGGAGGCACCAGTCTAGGCTGAGAGATAGCAGGGGGTGGACAATAGGATGTTTTTAGGGGTGGGCCTAAGGCCAGGGCTGCCCTCTCCTTCCTGTGATAATTATTTGTCTTTCTCTGCTTGTGTACCCCAAGATGACGAAGATGAAGAAGCCCCTGGGCCCTCGCAGCAGCCACTTCGGGTGCCCCTGCTACGGCCTCTGGAAGAAGAGGCCCACCTGGCCAGGCCCATGCTACTCCATTCATCTTCCTCAGACCAATCTGAGTCAGTGGGCACTAAGCGAGAGGCCCGACCCTATCCCTCGCTCCAGGCCCAGGCCTGTAGGACCCCACAGCCTCACCCCAGCTCACCCACTGTGGGCCTAGACTGGCAACTCCTCCACGCCCACTCACAGCAGACTGAAATGCTCCAGCAGTTCTGTCAGGAACTGGTGACCGTGCACCAGGACATGGCCGGCAGCATGCATGTGATCAGCCAGACCATGACCGAGCTGACCAGCCGTGTCAGTCAGATGTGCCAGACTCTGATGGAGATCCGAGATGCGGTTGAGGCATCTCAGCGGGGACTAGAAGGGGCAGCCCGCCTGGGCTCCAACCCCCAAGCACCCCTGCCGGACCCTACACAAGCTCCCTCAGTCCTAGCCCCTGCACGGACTACCAGGTCTCGGAAGAGAAAGCACAATTTCTAACCTGGCCAGTTTGCACTAGGAGAGACGGCTATGGTGTCTGGCCTTGAGATGGGGCAGTCTCTTGGGTCCAGGAACAAGACTGATGTCCCTAAGGGCACAGCCATCTCCTCACCGGGTATAAGCCTGCTTAGGCTCTAACGGAGCATGTGTGCAGGCCCACTCCTTCATCTCAGGAGGCTGTTCAAGATCCAAGAGAAGCTGCCTGCTTGATGCTTGCTTGGCCTAGAGGGTTGCTCTCCTCGGTCTGTATCCCAAGGAGCAGGCCTTGTGGGGAATGGGGAAGCAGCCAACTGACTCTTCCTTACAATTCGGGGCTGCAGCAGACCTGACCTTCCACGAGGCAGGGAGGGCCTGTGGGTGGCCGGGGCTAGCTCAGCCTGGTGGGTGGGTTCCCGCCTTGGCCTGTGCTTGCCCTGTGCAATGCCTGCATTGCTCAGCTGCTGTGCTGCCTTTTGTGGAGTGGAAGGGAAGGAGGCTGATGCTGAGATCTGGAAGGAGTCTGTCTTGCAGTCTTAGCCATCTTTAACTACTACCCCCCTCCCACCCTGCACATGTTAGGTGTTCACAGAGAGCTCTCAAAACAGTGAGGAGGCATTATCATCACTGTGATCACCCATCATTATCATCATCACCTGCATCTCAGAGGTCAGAAATGATATAGCTAGGTAATAGGTGCCAGGACTATGGATTTGCCAGCTCCTTTCAAAAGGCCAGCTCTGGAGTGGTGGTAGAAGGGGGAACTTACTCCTCACCTAGCTTCTGCCCCTGTCTCAGCTTCCCTGGGTAGAAGAGGGGGACAACAGCAGTGTGGACGTGAGTCTCTCAGCCTGCCCTGGCCCTAAGGCTCATAGCCAGTGGCTGGAGAGGACCAGGACCCAGGCCTCATAAGTCAATAGACAGCCCTTCCCTCTGGCTCCTCAAACAAGATGGAGCCCAGCAAGGTTGTTAGGGTCCACCTCCCAGCATGCCTTGCCTCTGCTTGCTTGGACTTTATATGCACTTAGCCACACACACCTAGCTTCATGTTTTGTTTTGGGGGCATGGGCCGAGAGAGCTGGGTTCTTAGAGGTAGGGAGGGAGGTAGGGGCTGCAAGCTTAGCTTTGGCCTGGATGCAGCTTTGTCTTTGCTCCCTGGCCTGAAGCTGATCCCAGCAGACCTTTTGCACCCTCACCCTTCCCTTTCATCCTGCCCCCTTAGTGGGCCTGGAGCCCTCTGGACCTTGTGCCTGCTGAGGCTGTTGCTGGAGCTACTTATAAACCCAGACCAGGTTTTGTCCCACACAGGGTGAATGGACACCTGCCATGTCCCTGAGCCCTGGGCTCCATGGCCTCATTCTGTGGTTCTTTGGGGGTTCCTGCCCCCAACCAAACTGATATTGTCCTTACCAGTAATAGCTCAGTGCCTGGAATTGCCCTGCCCACCCATGCTGGAACCCAAGATTGCCTTCCCAAGTATCTTTGTTAAGATGGCAATAAAACGAAATGGATGTCATACTTTGAACACATCCAGGCTCCAGGATCTTTCTTTGGTGTGTACTCTCTTTCTTCACATCCCAAGGAAACCTGCAGGTCCCCAGAGCAAGAGCTAGATGCTTAAAAGAAAGAGTGTTGGGAAGAGGGCTCTGTGGTCCTTATATTCCCTGGGTTCCATAAGCTCCCTGTGGGCATGCCTGGCCCTCAGAAGGAAGGACAGGGGTGTGTGGGCTGAGGGCAGCTGAGCATCCATGGACAATAGGGTCAGCTGTATTTCATTTCTCTATACCTCAAAAGTAACGTTGTACTTGAATTTAACCTCATGCTCCCTGAAAATGTTAGGATTCCCAGTGGGTGAAACCATTTCTGGTGGGAGATTTGGGAAGCTCCTGACTGTTCATTTGCCAGTGCTCTATGGGACCATCCTGAGACATACACCTCTTCTAAACATTTCCCATTGATCCTGGTAGCTGTCTGTTAAAGGCCAGGCACTGCCCACCCCAATTTGGGGTTTCTCAGAGAGACCAAAGTGGCTTCCTCTGGCAGCTACTTGGAGTGTGCCCTCAGCAGAGAGGGCTCTTCACCTGTCATCCATCAGGCCTACCTCAATCCCAGACAGAGTTTCTCCCAGGCAGGAATCACCAAGTCTTAGCCAGGAATCTCCTTTCTGGATAGTTCTAAGCTACCTTTGGCTTTGGAATCCAGACTATTCGTGCTCTGAAGTTCGTGGCCAAAATGCATGACTTTGGAAATCAATACTGTTTGCTGGCAATGCAGAGCCACGTGGGTGCCACTGGCCTGGGTTACCCTCAAGGTTGGTCTGGGAGAGGAAGGGGCCAAGTTAGAGCCTATAAACCAGAAACACAGAGCCCAAGGGACAGTAGTCTGTTTGAAATGGAAATGATTTCTCTTTGGGTGTCTTGGCAGCAGTGGCGACTGGGAGGCCAGCACATTCAATAGGAAGAGGAAATGAAGGGGAAGCTGGTGCCAGCTTAGGCTACCAGTGTACAGAGCAGTGCTCTACAGAGTCCTGGTGACCATCTGCTAGAGGCAGTGTGCATCACTGAAAGTCCCTAATCTGATGACATTACAGCCCAGTCTCTTCTCTGCCAGTCTTCCCATTTCTGCCTTGAAGACCTGGGCAACTTTGTTTCCACTGGAAAGAGTTCTGACCAAGCCTGCCCTGTGGATGCACCCATGGGCTCTTTTCTTTCTTGAGTCAGAACCCACGGTCATTTCCTGACCCAGCTAGAAAATACTGTGTTCTTGATAAGACCCAGTGGGTGAGGTCTGAGAATTGTCTCTGTGCTTATCTATCCGGTCTGCAAGGCCAGTAAGGAGACAGAACTGAAAACAATGCGATATTCTCGGGAAGGGTTCAGTCCAGCCCTCGCCACCACTGTCACCCACCCCTTCATCGCTTCCAGGATGCTTCCAATGAGTCTGGGTATGGGAGCTGAACTGCTCTCCAGTGAGCTTGTCAGCCCAGACCAGGTATTTCCCACCCTGCTCTGTTATCCCAATGGTGAGTGGGCTGGGAACTCAGACCCTTTGACACACAACTGTCTAGCCACAAGGAAGAAACAGTTCCTGCAAACTTGTGCTCCTTAGCCATGTGACAGAAAATATACGTCATAAAAATGGGAATAACAGATTCAGAGAATGGACTAAGCCATTAAGTGTTACCACTTCACAGGGAGGGACCTAATTAGAGGTGATGAGTGTTGAGACTTAGCTGGCTCGTTAGCTTTTTTTCCAAAAGTTCTGTTGCATAAATACATCTTGTTAGGGGAATGGGTGGCTGTGATTCACCCAGAGTTGCCATATGTATCTTATTTCAGAAGCCAAGTTTGAAAACAACCAAATGCAAGATACTCAACACATTTTGATCTGCCATGGAAAATACACATGTGATCTCTACCAAGACTGGGGATGCCCTTTCTAAATGGTGGTTCTTGTTGAGTAGCAAAGCACCAGGAGGTACAAGGGGAAATTGATTTGAATCTTTTGAAACCTTTAGCCCAACTCCAGACATCATGCTGTTTTGAATCATCAAACCTGAGAGTAGTGTGTTGCTCAGCTAGTGATGGGGAAATAACTCTACCATTTAGTACTTGGTGGCTGTTCAGAAACTTAAGGGAGTAAGGGAAATGGTACTCTTATGTGCTCTGGGAGCCCAGTGATTCTCGAAAGAATGCATGAGTGGAGTTTCTGTCTTCTGGATGTGTCTGTCCGGAAACAGAAATGCTTGGAGCTACATCTGTTCTGTACCCTGCTGGCTGTTTTTGGATGTTAGTCCCAGACTTGTGCTAAATTGGGGAGCTGAAGATATTTTGCACATTTAGAAGAATAAGAAATAAAGTGGTCCTTTGGGTGGAGAGGTAGGAATGGGCATGATTTCTGCAGTCCTCTGTCCTTCCCTCAGGATCTTGGCTAACAATGTCGTGGCTACGTGCATGGACTTCCCAGTACGGTTTTCCCAACTCAAGAATGCTCTCAGATACTGATGCATATCAGATAGTAATGAAGATACAGGTGTGTTAAAGCTGAGGCCCTGTATCAGATACTGATGTGGATTTAGGTATGCCTAGACTGAGGGCCTGTATCCTATACTCATGGGGATACAGGTGTGCTGAGGCTGGGTTCCTGGACAAGATGCAAGTTCCGGGGATCTAAGCACCATCTTTCTTTCCCAGAGTAGAGCTGGTGTTTTCTCTCCCCCTGCCTTGGTCTTCCTCCCTCTGGTCTAGGCCACATTCTTCACCAGAATGGGCTTCAGGGGATTTGTTTGTAAGGCATGAGCCTCCCCAAAGGCTAAATTGAGTTGATTCTGCAGGGGCCTATCCAGATAAGAGCTAGGCGCATGTGAAGGCTGTTGGCCCTCACATGATAAGAGCTAGGCTGGGGAGTCCCCTGGTATAGATTCTCAGAGCTGCTAGCCACCGACTGCCACCCTGCTATCCTGCAAGGGAACTGGCATCTGTGCATATTTTCTCTCTGCGTGTGGGAGGAAGTAGCACAGAGTGCTTACTGAGGAAATGTAGAAGGTATAGACAACTACAAAGATGACCCACCCACAATGATGGTCATGGTTGAAAAAAAACCCAGGTGTGTTTCCTTCAAGCTGTTGGAAACTCTGTTGGCTTTCAATCCAGTTTATCTCGTTGTCCATCTTAGCAGCGCTGTTTTGCCACCCCACAGGGGATTCTTTGTAAACATTCTTTCCGTGGATGACTGACCTTATCTTCTGCCATGTGAACACACTGGCATTTATGGAACCATTTCTCTGGGTTGGGCATTTTCATGTCTTGGCTTTTATTTATAAATAATGAGCAGTTGGCAGAGTGGCTAGCAGGTTGGTGGACTTGGTCCTCATCCCGTTGCTTTAGATCCACAGTGCCAGTTTGTTTCCCAAAGGATGGCTGTCCTATCACTATATAGACATAGCCTCATCCATCACCTTTACCAACACAGGCATAATCATTCAAAAATATTGGCACCCATGAGACAGACTGCAGCTTTGCATTGTTTTCCCGATTCCTGATAATCCCCACCCCCACCCCAGATCATTTTTTGCTATTTATTTTGAGATAGGTTATTCCTAAATTGCTTTGGCTATACTAGAATTCGCTCTTTAGCCCAAGCAGACCTGAAACTTGTGTTCTCCCTGCCTCTGCCTCCTGAGTAGTTGGGATTACAGGGAGGTTCCCCCAGTCCTTGCTAATATTTCAGTCTTACATTCAAGGCTGATTTATGCCTTCTTCTGACTGTAAAATTTGCATGGTTTTAGCATAAGCTTTCAAAATCATTTTATATTTCATTACACTGTTGTCTAACAGACATCTGCTCACAATTTAACCAGGTAAGACCACCCCATGGGTAAAGCCCTTTCCCTGTAAGTGTGGGGAACTGAGTTCAAATCCCTACCACCAAACATGATAGCATGTATCTGTAATCCCAGCATTCCTTCGGGAGACAGATAAGACAACCCCTAGAAGCTCTTTTATCCAATTTCTTTCTTTTATTAACATTTTCGACATGGTCGCATATAGCCCAATTTGGCTTCAAACTCATATAGCCAAGATGACCCTGAACTCCTGATCCTCCTGCCTCTACCTCCCAAGTACTGGGATTATAGATCTGCCTGGTTTCTGCAGTGCTGGGAATAGAGCCCAGGTGGGTAAGCACCTTATCCACTGAGCCACACCCCAGCTCTGGTGCACTTTTCATTGATTCATTACCCACATGAATTTTGTCTGTGGCTTACTGGTTCCTCTGGACTATATCAAATATAATTCTTGGAACTTTGCTGGCTAAACAGACTTGACATTCTTACCCTGGCTTTTGAGTGAAATGAGGAAAAGTATATTTTTTTAGCTACCAATTTCTTAGATGTTTGTGTAGCATGGGCCTAGCCCCCCCTTCCCATAATTCCCTTTTCCCTTTGTTCCATGGGTCAGTGCCTGTCAGTACAATTGATGTTTGGAGATGGGTAAGGCAGTACCCGGATGTGGGAAGTGTCATTTTGGGAAAACTGGGTGGAATGCAGATTGTGAGTTGGACAGAACTTAGGGGGTCTCTGGGCATTGCTGAGTTGATGTTTTGCATGCCCACACAGAAGCAGTGAGGGGTAGCGGGGAAAAGTATAGGCCACAAAACTGCATCACCCATTAATTAGCTGTGTGACTTTGGACAAGTTGCTCAGCTTCTCTGAGCCTTTCTTGCCATGTCTTAAACCTTTTAGATTAAGCAGTGTTTGCCAACCTTTTATCATGTCTTCTTTACCTTCTTTCTCTCTCCCCACTGGATCCTCTGTAAAGACTCTGATCTTTAACACTTATTGATCAGTGGCCACTCTGGAGCACGGATAATTTCTGATAGGCCAAGTGAAATGTGGAAACTGCACCAAGATATACCTGACTGCCATTAGAGACCTGTGGATGTGCAGGGACCACAGCTTGAAAGTCAGTGGAGAGTGGAAGGGGTAGCCACCTACTGTTGAAGCTGGCACTGACTGGGATCCATGAGGCTGGTGGGAAGATATTTCCAGTTTCACATAAACAGATTCTTTGAGGTTCAGAGGCTTGTAGGATGTCACTCAGAATGGTGATGTTGCTGGTACAGGGGCTAGCTCTGGTTAGCTGGCCCTGGGTGGAACTGTAACCTTGCTTCCCTGCCCACATTCTTGTCATTTACGGCCTTGTGCACTTGTACCCCACACTGGAGGCAGGCAGGCAGGACAGGCGATGGTTCTCACCTTTCCCTTGCCCCCTGCAGGTATGTAGTCATCTCTCGGGAAGAGAGGGAGCAAAACCTCCTGGCATTCCAGCACAGCGAGCGCATCTACTTCCGGGCATGCAGGGATATCCGACCTGGGGAGCGGCTGAGAGTCTGGTATAGCGAGGACTACATGAAGCGCCTGCACAGCATGTCCCAAGAAACCATCCACCAAAACCTGGCCCGAGGTGGAGGTGAGTGTGCATGGGGAGCAGTGTCCACAGAGCCAAAGCCATGCTCACCAGAGAAGACCACGCCCACAGGGCCAGGGTGATGCCAGAGAGGACCATGCCCACATGGCTAGGACCACACCCACAGGGCAGGGCCACAAGGCCAGCCCATATGGCTAAGGCCATACCTACAGGGTCAGGGCCACACCCGCCAGAGAGGACCAAGCCAACAGGACCAGGGGCCCACAAGAGATGGCCACACCCGCAGAGCCAGAGCCACTCCCACCAAAGAGGACAGGCACACATGGCTATGGCTGTACTTACCCGGCTAGGGCCATCCTCACCAAGAAGGCCCATAACCACATTGCTAGGGCCACTGCCTACAGAATCAGGGTCATACTCACAAGAGAAGGCCCATGTCCACAGGACCAGGGCCATGCTCACTCGAGAGGTCCACACTCAAAGAGAGAGGTCCTCACTTGCCATGGAGGGCCGCACCCATAAGGCTAGGGCCATGCCTATATGACCAAGGCCATGTCCACAGGACTAGGGCCATGCCCACCGGGAAAGGCCACACTCACTCTAAGACCCCCAAATGGCCCAGAAAACTCCTCTGGGAACCTTCTAAGCAAACCACTGAGGAAGACAGTACCCAGCAGTGCAAAAAGTTAGAGCACTCAGGGGTGCAGACCATTGGGCCAGACCTGAGCAACACTGTAGGCCTGTGCCCACCCCAGGCAGTTCTCTTTCCTGAGAGGCAGTCTTAGAAACCCTCACCACACACAGTTCTGAGAAGACCAACAAATCCCAGCCAAGTTTATCAGTTGAATGAACAACATTCCTATTTGCACAACTCAAATTGATGAAAAGGTTTCCCTCTCAATGCCTCAATAATGCTAGCAATAATGCATACTTGCTGAGTGCTAGGTTGGTTTCCTACAAGTTCTTATGCGACCAGCCTCACAGCAGTAGGAACTACTCCACGGTGTGCTGTGAGACTCCGTTGGAGTAATGTTCATTATCTCCATTAGCGCAGTGCCTACCTTGACCATTATTATTAAGTCCTTGATTGTAAAATTTTAATCTCATGGTTATTAGCCCCACCTTATAGATGTTCAGAGCATTCAAGATGTGTAGACTCTCCCAGGATCACATGACTTGGGAGGGCAGAGCTAGATTTCCAACCTGCAGCATCTGAAGTCAAGGTTTGAGTTCTAACCAACAGTGGGCAGTAGACAAAGCTAGTCCCTGTATTTTTGGCCTTATTTGTGGCAGTCCTAATGGTTCAACAGGAAAGAACAGTCTCCACCAGAAGGCTAGATGGGTGTGAGAAAGTGACCTCGGGCTGGGGGACCCTGGTGGGTTGGATGTCCACCCAGCCTCCATTGAAATGAGTCATGTAAAAGTGGCTTGAGTCACTACAGGTCTTCTAGCCCTTTACCTTGATGGTACCTCCAGCCTGGCAAGGGGGAACTGGTAAGCCCAGGTCCTTCTTTCAAGAGGACCTGCTTTGCACAAAAGCCACACCTCCACATGCCAGAGTCTCTTTGGTCCTCAGAGCCAATTCCATGCCCAAGCCTCCTCTCCCCCCCATATCATGGTTTTGACCAGCTTCCTCTTTGAGATAAATCTTTGTTTGGAAGATGAGTGGAGATGGAGGTGGGTTGGGGCAACTCACTGAAATGAAGCTGCAGAACAGAACAGAGAGGGGCTTTGAGTGCACAGTGGACACCTGCCTCAGTCAAAGGCATCTGGATGGCAGGTGAGAGGCGGCCTGCAGGCAAACTCATGACTAGTCTCCTGTGGAGCTGAGCCTGATCAATGCCGGCTTCTCACTATGATGGCAGGGCAGTGGCTCCCATGTAGCCTCTGCACATGCCTCGTGTGCAAGTATCTGAAACATAGTGCTCGGTAAACCTTTGTTGCATGGATAAAAGCAGACAAGAATCAAGTCTGCAAGGAAGTTTCCAGAAGAATCACACCACCCAAAGGAAAAAAAAGAAGTCGCAGCTGCAGACACGGGTTTCATCACTTGCCCACAGTCTTGAATTCTTCTAGAATTTTCCTTCAGTGCCTTCTCTAAAGCACCTCAGCCTGCATCTTCCTCAGAGAACCCTGAGACCCAGGGATGACTCAGAGAAAGGAGGGAGCTTCCAGGAGTGGAGGCTCATGGGACAAGTGGCGCACAGACTTGAAAGGAGATGAACCAAACCTGAGTAGATGTAGCAGGAAGATATCTGCCCCTGGCCAGGCTGAGCAGCAGGGTGCTGGAAGAAACTGACAGCCACAGCAGATCAGCCAGAGCTGTGGTGGAAGGTGGTCCTCAAGAATGGCCTTGGGGCTCAGTGGCTGTTAGATGGATGTTAGATGCTAGGTGCAGAGTTCAGGGCCTTTATGCATGTCTTGGATGATATGCTAGCCCTGCCTTGGAAGGTCCCCTTTACCCAGTCATTTAAGATCTTACAGAGAGATTGGCGAGTGTGTG